GTTAATTGTTCTGCTCAAAACATCTGCCAACATCTAAACCAATCACTATGGGAAGGAAGGGAGAGGACAGGAATAGAATGTGCTGGTTGGTTAGGGAAGTGCTCCATCCCTATAGAGCTGAGGGTAGAAATCAGCACCACAGAATCCTATGGATCTCTAAGTGAAAATTAGGATTATTAGAACGGAAGGAGAAGATATTATACGATGTGGAGATAATAATCTATGGGCAATATTGTGATATAGCACAGTTTTAATTCCAGTATTATTTTCCTAGGAACAAAATACTTTTTCTGAACATTGAAAACACTTAACTTCTTAAAGAGCAGTCACTCAGTTTGATGAAGTGAGAAAGCCCATGGGGGAATAACAACAACAAAAAAGAAGGAAGAAGGAAGAAGGAAGAAGAAGAAGAAGAAGATGATGATGATGATACCCAGCCCTATGTATCTTTTCTTTTTTTCCATACATACATATACTCCTGTCCAGGTATTTTGTGTATAACAAAGGGACTGGAGATCTATTTTGTAAATAAAAGGAAAAGGGTATCCTTTCTGAAATTTTTGCTCAGAAATGAACATGTTTTGTTTTAGAAGCACTTTGGCCTAAGTATCAAGAATCACTCTTGAATTGTTTTTTCAGTTCTCGAAAGACTTAAATCTTCGCCTTATAATGAAGTATGAAAATGAAATGACGAGGAAATTAATGACTGCAATTTTGCTAATGGTTTCTTTGCTCCTTTGAGCAAGTCATTGCTTCCTAGTAAATCAGTAAGAAAAGAGAAGCATGGCTAAAAATTAATAAGGGATTCTAGCAGGCTGGTTCCACTTAACCCTTTTCATCCTCATTCCTAACCCACTTGAATATATTCTTCAGGACATATGCACACTGTAGTGAAAATGTTAGGAAATAATTTTACTTAACAAGTAAATAGCATTCATTTAATTATATATAGCAACTGGAATTGAGGAGATGCATTTGTTTATGTAACAAATTCCTCAGAATAAATTGGATTTTCAACTTGTCATTAAATCCATGGGGATTTGAACTTGTTCACTCCTTAAAAGCAATCAGCTATTTCCAAGTATAAAAGAGAGAAAGCTACTTATGATGCTTCTCAAATACAAGATCGTGCAAAGATACTTTACTGAATAAGGAACAACCATTAAAATGCATTATATTTAACATGAACATATAGAAACAAATGTGCTCAAAGCATCACAAATCCCAAATATATAGTTGCTTTACTATCATTAGCATATAGGTATATTACATTCCTATGAGCACTTAATTTTTGTTGTAGTCTGTCAAAGTTTGATACCACTGTACCTCAGGAAAGTTGTGATTTCCTCTATGTTGTTTATTGATTATTACCATTTAGACTGAAGGCCTTTCTAATCCCTCTTCCTCTGAATTCCTATGGTGGTTGTTATATGTACAAGTCTTTGGCATTGCTCATGTGCCATCTTAAGCTGTTAAGTAGGGCTTGTTTTTCACGTTGCTATGTCTCATTTCCCAAACCACATTGTAATCAATTCAGAAATGTCATTTGTCTTTGAATCTCCCCAATTTTTAACAAAGTGACTGGAGTTAGAACATAAAGCTCCTTGGGGAAGGGGCTTCATCTGATTTTCTTTTCAAGGTAACTCTGAGAACCCTACTCTGACACATCACAAACACTTGATAATGGTTATTAAGTGAAAGAATAATCATTTTAATACCAGTTGCTCAAGAGATGTTTGTTAGGTTGAATGCTACTACTACCTAACCTACTATTTGCTGGACCTATGCTTTTAATTAATTTTCTAATAGCTGTGTGATTTTCATTCATATTTCAAGACAAGTTCATGAGTTTGTGGCCTAGCACTGCCCTAGGATACGTGAAAGACCCAAACACACAAAAAAAGTAGAAATTACAGTTTCTATTTCTGAGAAATTCGTGCTTCATTCCCACTTCTCTAGTATTGCAGCCTTGGTATACAAATTAATAATGGGAGCAATTTTGGTGGGATTACACTAAGGCTTTACGGGATTCAATTTCTAGGTGTACTATCTATCTTGGTATATACCATCCAAATGAAGTCATTTCCTGAACAATTTTCTATTTTGTCTCTCTTTAAAAACAAAATGTGTCATGAGTTGGCTGTTTAAGTAACAGAAAAATTAAGGACTTTTTAAAATAGAAACTTAATAGAAAACCAGACTTAAAGGTTTTTTTTTTTTTTTCTTAAACAGGTTTTATGTATTTAACATTCATATTTAACCTGTAGATTCTGGTTATAGAATACCTATTTTGCCATACTTCAGACTTAGAGTTTTCAAAGGAAAATTTAAGATCTTGCCCCCAAACTTGCTCCTATTTCTGATTTCTCTATTTCCACCATCTCTTCCAGCCACCTAGATTCAAAGTCACAGTTTACCTTAAATCGTTCTTCTCAAGTTATCCCCATTTCTAACGATCTTCCAAATCTGGTAGATTCTACCATTCCATGTCCCTTACATGGAATATTAGCATGATCACATAACCTAAGTCATGCCCCACACTAGTCCATTCTACCCAAAACTTTTAATATTTCATGAGGGCCATTTGAACTGAATATAAACTCCTAAACCAGGTATTGAAGGGGCTTCCCAATTGGACCAATCTACGTTTCATTCTTACTTCTCACCACTATCTGTAATCTTGTTCCAATAACAGTAAAACCATAAAGCCCTAAGATACATAACTCTGTACTTAATGACCCTTTGCTCACTCTGCTGCCTCAAGCTAAAACTTCTTCTAGCCCTTCAAAGGCTACTTTCCCCAGGAAGTCTTCAAAGATCACCCTGACCAGAGGTACCCTCTCTGGAATCACTATACTACGGTGCTTGGGTGTCTCTCATCCTGCAATCCCTGCAGTTATTTATCAGCTCAATGTCTTCCTTGCCCCCACTAAGTTGTCATTTCAGAAGGGCTGAGAACATGTCTTACTCATGTCCAAAGCCCCCGCAGTACCCAGGACACTACACTAACTTGCATATGGTTAAGAGCTCAGCAGATCCTAAAAATATACAGTTTCTATCTACATAAGATACTGTTGGTTGAATTGCAGCAACATGGTCACTTTTCTTGTACCCATCACTTTCAAACTCAAAAAACGTCTATTAGCCTCAAAAGCTATCATGGAACGTAGTAATAGCCCCTCTTAGAAACAAAAGTTATCAGGCAATCCTTGACTAATGGCCCATATTATATGCTTCGTTGTAAAATATTTCAGTTCTTGGTTTAAAATACTTCTAGCTCAATGTCAAAGATGGTTATAATAAATTTTTTAGTTGCTATTGGGAATATATGCAAAGGGACTGAAAAAAAAAGTAACATTTGTTATTTTTAGAGGAGCTACTTCTTCGGACTTTGATACTTAGCAGGTGACAAAAACAATGAATTTATTACTGGCTTAAGAACTGCTTCTCCAAAGTGAAAATAATGAGAGGCAGATGAGCATGAAGGGTTGTTGTTGCTACTGCTGTTGTGTGTTACACTATGCTCTTAAAGTATCTGACAATTACAATGTTCAACCTCAGGGTTTTACAGTGGATATGTCAGCATGTTTTCACCTCAAACAATGGAACTCTCAACTAAAGCTGTATTAAAAATAAGGGCATTTATTATCTAACATAACAGAACATAGACGAACTCTTCAAAACTGAGGAACTCAGTGACATGATGATGTTACAAAGATCCATGTTCTTTCCATATCTCTGCTCTGCCACCCACAGACTCTGCACCATCATAAGGCTTGATCCTCTTGAACTTGCTGCTAGTAACTACTGGGGGTGTATACTTCCCTGTTCACATCCAATGGAACTGGATGAAGGGGGCCTCTCCCCTAACCATGGAAGAAAAATCTCTCCTTTCAGTCTGGTAAATTTAGGTCAACTGTCTACCCCAGGACAAATAGTTATCTCCAGAGAAACACCAGGCAACAATTTGCTCAGGCTTAGGTTTCTAGAATAACTTCTAAAGAGGAGGGTAAAATTTCCATGATTGGCTAAGACCACCTAATACCATTTTAGGGGAAGTGTAAATTACTAAGAGTATATTGATGTTCTAAAATGCACAAAAAAGGAGGGATAAAATGAATGCCGTGGAGTAAGTAACAATTGCAAATATGGACTGGTATTACTGTTTAAACAATGAAGATGATTGACTTCTTAAATCAAGAAACTATAATTTTTCAGATATAAGAATTAAAAGAATTTGTATATTCATTGAATGAGATTTTGTCACAAACAGGTATAGATAATTCCCCAAGTAAATCATCCCGTGAAGACACGGGATATATTTAATGTAGATTGTAGATTCTATGAAGTCAGGCACCGTGTCCATCTTCTGCAGTGTTCTCACCGTGATGCCTGGCACAGGTGAGAAGTTCAAAACATTTTTCTGCTTGAACAGATAAACATAAAAGTAACTTCATTAACAGACACTTGCTGAAGGACAGGGCATCACATTGAAGAGGAATCCTGGGTGACAGATTAATTTAACTATAAAAGGTATCAAAGGAAAGCTTTTACAAAACCAAACTGACTCAATAAGCAAAAACCATCCAGAAAGGTGCTGCTATGCTTCAAGCTAAAGATCTTCTGTTACGCCAGCAAATGCCCATGATAATGGTGTAGTTAAAGGAATATTATTCTGTTTTTGCTTTTAAAAACAGCGTTCAAACCACTTGCAATTATCCTGTATAAGAGCTGAGTATTTGAGCCATAAACCCAGTTTTTATCTGACATCTGCAAGCACAATATTTTCTTTTCATGAGGTCTCCTATCAGAAACCACTTTAGACATCCCCACAAAGACACTGCAGAACACCTCGGGCCAATCAGACAAAATGTACTTTCCTGGATTTCCCTGCAGTTTGATAATGAAGAAAAAAAGAGATGAAGCCAAAGCTTTCCCCCTCCGAGCCATCGTCTTTCTGTAGACGTTTTGAATAAATGTGGCCCGGCTGTCTCACTGACCTTCCAGGACACTGGGACTTCCCATTTCCAAATGCCATGAAGCAGTCCAAGAAAGCGTGCTTCTTTAAATTTGCCTTTCTCCAGCGTTCCTGTGGGAAGAAAACATTTTTTTTTTTTTTCCAAATCAGTCTTATATAAATAAGCTTAACTTTATTTCTCTAGGCTAAAAATGACCTTGTACAGCTAATCCTTGCGTATAAAGTTGCAGGGTTGTTGGTAATTTTTTCCAACTTGTTATTAATATCAGACGCAATTGTGTTTTTGGAACATGAACTTATAAATAAAAAGGTTTAAAAAGAATTCTGTTAAGTGGTAAATGTAAATGATAATGTAAATCAACCACAGAATTGACCTAAGAAGAGAAAGATTATTTATAATAATGTCTCAGGCTCCATCATAAAATTGTTCTTGGTAATAAATTTAGTAATAAGGTACTCACAGCCCTGCCTACTGGAGAAAGGTTGGGATGCAGAATTAATACATCTGGATGCCACTTTTGACAGTTTTACCTAAAGGCAGAGAATGGACTAAATGACCTCTTAAGGTTCTGTTCAGCCCTGTAACTTTCCAAACCTAAGAAATAGTAGATCATGGTTTTAATTTGCTTTATTTTTATTTTTTGTACTCCTTGGAAACCAACAATGGAAGTACTGCCTAAAAAATATAAAATAAGTCTTCTGTCAGAACCATGTACATTTACCTTAACATGCCCTCTGGTTTCATATAAAATTTATTTTAAAGTTGGGGAAGTTTATTCCAAACACTTTGCTATCTGGTTTGTAAATGTTGTACTGTCTACGTCGCAAATCTAATCTATGCTCTGTAGCAAATTTTGTACTTAGTTACTAGAGAAATATGACTGCTTAATGCTTTAGTCCTAGTTAATTTCTGAATTCATACTTTTGACATAAAAAGCATACTGTATATTGCAAGACATAACTTACGGGTTTGAACAGTTCAGGTTCAGGAAAATACTTTGGGTTTCTATGTAGCCAAAATGGAGACAACATCAACAAGTCACCAGAAGGAATGATGTAATTCTATGATAGAAAAAAATCAATTCCAAGTCATTTTTTTTGAAATATGCTTTAAGGAGAGTTTGGCTCATTAAAAATAATGCTACAATTATATTGTGGTGAAGGCTTACATCATTTTATAATTCATGGCAAGAAAATAATAACAATACTGAACAGGCCTTTCCAATTTTCAACTTAGGCGATGTCTGATTTCTAATTCTGCTTATTAGTTACATGTACATATATATTTGGTTACATAGAGGGAAATACTAGTGAAATGTCAAAATCTTAGAAACTAGTATTAGTCCAGTCTAATGCAGCTTTGATGTTTGATATTGGGGTTTGTAGCAAGTGTTCTTGATGATAGAAGCACAGTGGATCCCCAGATTGTTAAACAGAAAAATCCAACTCTGACACAGGGGCAATGGCCATGGTAATGCTGAAGACAGGGGCAGTGGGTGGCCTACCCATGGGGGCACTGATGATGGTGTCAGGGCAGGGGCAGCAGATTCTTTTTTAAGTCCAGAAGCAGCTATTGGAGGAGAAAAATTTGAAGACAACTGGTCAGGAAGACATGGGAAAAAGCAAATGTACATTTACTTGGTTGGTTTTTGTTTGCAGCCATAGTGGTTATGGGACTGAGGATAAGCAGTGTGTTTCCTCAAGCAGCAGAGTCCGTATTATCCTTTCCAATTCATGTTATAATAGGTTCTCATGATTTATAAACTATCCTAAGAACTAAAAACCATTTCATAAAGTCTCCCTTTCGTCACCATGTTCAGGAACCATAGGACAAAGAGATCTCCTAAGTTGTATGATCACTAGATAGCTACCAATGTTATCAGGGGAAGATATTTTATTAGGTAATTCCCGTGGCCAATCATCATAAGCCACATCTATTTAACCCTGTATAATTTTGAAATGTACTCAAGATATTTGCAGAACACTTCCTTTGGGTTTATATATCCCTAATATAAACACTTTACAATGAAAAATATGTCTTTTTATGGCAGCAGGGAGTGGTGTGTGGGGTGGGGATCATCATTTTTGAATCCTGTTGGCTCCAGTGGGAGCCAAGTATTGCTTGAAGTTTGGCAGTTTCAGTACCAAAAGAGCTGGAGAGAGTCAAATCCAAAACTGGGAAGAGAGAAAGGCTTTTGCTGGTGTCCTCTTACCATTTTTAAAATAGAAAGAGACCTGTGAGATCCCAATCTTACCTGTTTCACCTCTGCTGGAATCAGTCATGGAGGGCCCTGATATGTATTTGGGAGCAGGGATGGGTCAGCCCTGGGACAGGCCTCCAGGTCCTTCCCCTTCATACCCCATAATCCCCTCTAGTCGCCGTTGACCTATGATCATGACTCGGAGACTACTGACTACTGCAGCCTACAAATCAGGATAGCAGAGGAAGGGGGACTTCAAATGGGTCCTCAGTAACTGAATTACCACTAGCAACAGGGAGGAGACAAGAAAGGAGTTACTGTTGCAGCAGCAGCAGCAACAGCCAGAGAGACAAATGGCATGAAGGAATGTTGGAGCTGGTTCTGTCAAAGAAAGCCTCTGAGCAAGTGGACATCATCATGCCCAGCCTAAACAGTCCCTATCTTTTTTTACATGACAGATTAAGAGAAAGATCAAGGAGACAAAACAGTTGCAGGACAAGAACACAGATCACTAGCAAAGGGAAGTTACAACTTCTCTGTGTTGTAATAACTGCATCTCTCAGGTAGACAGAATCGAATCTGGCCAGCCCATTTCCCCTGGATGTTGTGAGGCCAAATGAGCTTCATCTGCTAATCTAGAGGCGGGGCTTTCTTGAAGAGGGGAGAGAAAGTAGGACTCTCTGTTGTAACTCAAGAAGGATGCTGAGAGCTAAGTGTGGGCAAGGAATGTAGAATCTTGAAGAGAAAGAAGTCCTACAAAGGTAAAGCATCTATAACAGGAGGTCCAAAGCACACAATTTTTTCTCTTGGCCAGAAGCTTGGTTGGTGTTAATTGAAGATGAAAAAAGGTGTTTTTTCAAATTACACAGTATATTTTTTTCTATGGTAAAAACTGATCTCTACCAAAAGTTTAGTAAATTCAGAAAAATAGAAAGATTAGAAAAGAAAATAACCAGAGTTCTGACACCCAAAGACGGTCATCAATAGGCTGGACTTCTCTCCAGTATTTTTACTTACTAATAGTAGGTTTTTCTTTGTTGTTTTTAAACATAATTTTGATTCTCTTGAATAACCAATTTTTGAATCTTTCTTTGTTCACTTAACATTATAATGTAAGTATTTTTATTGTATATTCATTGTAAATAATTTTCCCTCCAATGGCTACTTAATTTTTCTTTCATTGGGTAGAATTAAACCATAATTAATTTAATCATTCCTTACCTTTTTTCCTATAACAAATAATGTCACCATAAGTATTTTCTTCCACAAAGCATTTTTCATATAAATTATTTTAACATAGACATATGACATGATGGTTCAACATGCAAAGCATTGAACATATACATCACATCAATAGAATGAAGGACGAAAACTATTGATCATCTTGATAGATGTAGAAAAAGCATTTGATAAAATTCACCATCCCTTTATGATAAAAACTCTCAACAAACTAAGCATAGAAGGAACATACCCTAAAATAATAAAGGCCAAATACAACAAACTCACAGCCAACATCATACTGAATGGGGAAAAGTTAAAAGTGTTTTCTCTAAGAACTGGAACAAGACAAGGATGCCCACTTTCACCATTCCTATTCAATATAGTACTAGCTAGAGCAATCAGGTAAGAGAAAGAGATAAAAGGCATTCAAATTGGAAAACAGAAAGTCAAATTGTCCCTCTCTGCTGATATGATCTTGTATCTAGAAAAACCTAAAGACTCCACCAAAACACTCTTAGATTTGATAAATGAATTCAGTAAAGTTGCAGGATCAATGTACAAAAATCAGTAGCATTTCTATATATCGATAATGATCTAGCTAAGAAAGGAAGTAAGAAGGGAATCCCATTTACAATAGCTGTAAAAAAAAATTAAATACCTAGGAATAAATTTAACCAAGGAGGTAAAAGTTCTCTACAAGGAAAACTAGACAACATTGATGAAAGAAATTGAAGATTACACAAATGGAAAAACATCGTATGTTCATGGATTGGAAGAATTAATAGCATTAAAATGACCATGCTTTCCAAAGCAATCTATAGATTCAATGCAGTCCCTATCAAAATACCAATATCATTCTTCACAGAATAAGAAAAAAAAAATTCTAAAATTCATATGAAACCAAAAAGAGCCCAAATAGCCAAAGCAATCCTGCGCAAAAAGAACAAAACTGGAGACATCCCATTGCCTGACTTCAAAATATATCACAAGGCTATAGTAACAAACATGGCATGGGATTTGTATAAAAATGGACACTTAGACCAATGAAACAGAATAGAAAGCCCAGAAGTAAAGCCACATACGTACAGCCAACTGATCTTTGACAAAGCCAATAAGAACTCACCTTAGGCAAAGGGTACCCTCTTCAAAATACAGTGCTGGGAAAACTGAATAGCCATATGCAGAAAAATGGAACTGGATCCCTATCTCTCACCATATACACAAATCAACTCAAGGATTAAAGACTGAAACATAAGACCCCAAACTGTAAAAAATACTATAAGCGATCTAGGGAAAACTCTCCTGGATATTAGTCTAGGCAAAGAATTTATGACTAAGACCTCAAAAGCACAGGCAACAAAAACAAAAATAGACAAATGGGATAACAAAAAACTAAAAAGCTTTTGCATAACAAAGGAAACAATCAACAGAGTAAAGAGACAACCTAATGGGAGAACAAATTTGCAAACCATACCTCTGATAAAGAATTAATAACTAAAATATATAAGGAACTCAAACAACTCAATAGTGAGAAAAAAATTTATCAACTTATCAAAAAATAGGCAAAGGATCTGAATAAACATTTCTCAAAAGAAGACATATAAATAGCCAACAAGTATATAAAAAAATGCTCAACATCACTTATCATCAGGGAAATGCAAATTAAAACCATAATAAGATGTCACCTCACACCTGGTAGAATGGCTATTATCAAAAAGACAAAAGATAACAAATGTTGAAGAAGTTGTGTAGAAAAAAAAAAAAAACTCTTGCATACTGTTGGTGGGAATGTAAATCAGTACAGCCATATGGAAAACAGTGTGGAAGGTTCCTCAAAAAATTAGCAATAGAACTAACACATGATCCAGAAATCCTACCACTGAATATATATCCAAAGAAAATGAAATGTCAAAGAGGTATCTGCCCTCCCATGTTCACTGCAGCATTATTCACTATAGCCAAGATATGGAATCAACCCAAGTGTCCATAAATAAATGAATGGATAAAGAAGATGTGGTATACATACATTATAAAGTACAATTCATTCTTAAAAAAAAAAAAAGGAAATCTTGTCATTTGTGACATGGATGAATATGGTGAACATTATATTAAATGAAATAAGCCAGGCACAGAAAGATAAATATTATATAATCTCACTTATACATGGAATCTAAAAAAGTTGAACTCATAGAAGTAGAGAGTAGAATCGTAGTTACCAGGCGCTGGAGGTATGGGGGTGGTACTTGGGAAGATGTTGGTCAAAGGATACAAAATTTCAGTTAGGGGACATAAGTCAAGAGATCTATCATACAACATGGTGTCTATTGTTAATAACAATGTATTGTATTCTTGAAAATCACTGAGAGTAGACTTTAAGTGTTCTCACCACAAAAACAATAAGTATGTGAGATAATGCATACATTAATTAGCGAGTTTAGCCATTCCACAATGTATACATATTTCAAAACAACCTGTTGTACAAAACAAATATACACAATTTTTATTTGTCAACCAAAAAATAAACTAGTTATAAATAAAATCAATAATATGCCAATCAAAAAATATATATATATAAGCAAAATATGTACTTTCTTTTCCCTAGAAGGTTGATTATTTTACAACAAAATCAAAGCTTACCAAAATTTTAACTGGCTTCATCACTTTTCTAGTAATGATACCAGGGGCTCTTAAACGAATGGTTTCCAAAACACACCATTTGATTAGAAGGAGTTTCTCCAGTTCATCTTCAGACACTTTAATCTTATCTTTGCCTGTAAAAAGAATTTTTTTTTTAATGCGGGGAAAAAAAAGATGGATTAAACAGGCCAGAAAGTGATTTTTGTGTAATCTCATCAACATAGGTTACATATGGCCTCTGACAGCTAGCAGTGTTACTATTAAGATTACTTTTTGCATACCAAGTTTAGTCATTTATTGTCTCTTTTTCTTTATCACTTTCCTCTAGACGAGATAAAATGCATGGCATGAAAAAGTAAGCCATGTTGATTACTGCAAAGTGATGGATCAGTATTCGACTTCAGTTCTCACAGTCCTCTGGCTACCAGATGGCTAAGGTAGTCCCTGTCAGCAAGGTGTTCAAGTTTCACTCTCTCATTCTTTCTTGTCCAAATTCTGATCCTACTTAAAGAAAAAGCAATACGAGATTGGCATCGAAAGCACAAAGAATATGAGAAGACACCTGACTTTCTTCTTCTACCTTTTACCTGCTGATTTGTTTTTGTTTTCAATCATTCCTTTCAGAAGGCCGAAAAAGAACATTAGGAAAGGTGCGATGCAGCTGGAACGGTGAGCACGCCCTCTAAGCACAGGTGCATGGAACCTTCCTAATGTGATGCGCATGCTTTATCTAAAGTGTATGCTGAAGACACCTGAAAAAGGATTGAGGGTCAATCTTTGTACCATCCAACATACGGTCAGGACTTTTCAGTCAAATTAGACAATTTAGTTCATGGTATTTCAAATAAAATATGTGCATTTTTAAAATTACTTAAAATGACTCAGCTTTCAATTTGGTTTTGAAAGCATTTGTTTAACAAAAGGCAACAACATTGTCAGTTTAATTAAGTCAACTCATTTCTCCCTTTCACGTTTGCTTTGTGACTATATTGGGAATGAGGGGACGAGAGTGGAACACAGGGTGTCCGGCCATGTCGCCCTTGGACTCCAGATGAGGCTCGTTCTAAAGCAAGCCCATTCTGCAGGAGAGGGCTGGTTGGGTGCTGCCTGAAAAATCTTGTCTGTCAGTAGAGGTAGAATTCCTGAGGAATCAGAAGCAAGCATGTTTGGTTAGTGGAGGCTGAGAACCAGGGTATATTAATCCTATCCATAGGGGTGCCTGTGCAGTCTATTCAACTTGACAGATTCTTGAGTACCAAATAGGGACCTGGAGCTGGGGTAGGCTCTACCAGTGTTACCATGGTTAAGGCACAGCTCTTGTTTGCAATATGCTTAGTCTACCAGAAGGTAAGGGACAAGCACACAGTTTAAAGTACGTCATACAGTCAGGGAAACCATTCTGTGAAATGTGAAATATTCAAAGGCAGTTAAAAGCAGGTAGTATTTATGTTCAACCAAAGGAAAAGGAAAATATTCTATGAGAATATTTCTATCAAACTACAAGTATAATTTGTTCCTTGCACAGGGTCAGTTGATCTAAATAAATACATATCAAATTAACAAATGGTTTAACTCCAACATGGGGAGATGAATGGGTGGATATTCTAGACAAAGGAAAGAGGTAGAACAAAACGAAGACTGTAGAAAGCATGCGTATATTCAGAAAATGGCAACAGGTCTAGTTTGCCTGCAAGGTGGGATACATGTGATGGAACAGTGAGAGATGCACTAATGCCGTAATATAGATAGTCCTCAATGTCACTTGTAAAATGTGGGGACTAGAGAATTTAGAGACTTCCTGCCTTGGGCTGAAGGAGGGTGAACACTTCAACAGTGAAACAGTGATATACAGCACTATTCTGTATTAAATTAAGACCTTCTGCTTATTTGCTCAGACCTAACTGATCTAATATTAAAAGGAAACAAGTGTCCTTATAGGATTTTTCTTTTAACCTTAACAGACATTGCCCCACAAAATGTTTGCTTTTGCTTTCCCATAACAATTATTGGAAAATAGTAGGTTTGCCTTCTGCATCTTCACAACCTAAATACCATAGTTTTTCCAAATTGTGTTCTATGAAATACTCAAAAGATGTCAAATGTTAGGAGGAGCAAGAAGGTTCTATGGCCAGCTATGGGAAACCCTGAATGCTATTGGTGATTCACTGGACACATTAGTGCATTGCAGGCTCTGAGAAATCCTGAAGTAAAGAGAGCTATTTACACCAATATTCCCAGACATTTTTGGTCATGGAATCTGTCTTCTTCCATTAACCATACAAGCAAATCATTAGCTATTTAACAAGAATATAAAAGATAACTAGTCACATAATAGCTATGGATTCTGAGGCAATCCTACAAAAAAGCAAACCCTGGTTTTAATTTGAGCATTACCAGCACATGCCATAGTCTTTCATGCATGCGGTCTAATCTACAAGCAGCTTTTAAGAACCAAAAAAAGCATTACCAACTGAAAACTATCTTAGTACACCATAGAAAGACAGTGGCACCACAAATTTAACTTATTTTACATTTTTCCCAAACTACCCCAACATTTGCTAAACTAATTCAGAAAAATAATTTAGGATAGCCATGATTAGAATTAGAAATTCTCTATTTGAAAAGTGACTGAGATTTTTGCATATGCAACAGATATCACTATTCAAGCAAATAAACAAATATTTATTTGGTATTTAGTGGAGAGCAAAAATGCTAAGCATTCCAGGAAATACAAGAAATTTAAGTTTTAGAGCTCTTTACCCTCAAAAAAACTATAAATTCTAAAACTGAAAAAAGGATAAGTACTTTGTCCAGATAGCGTTAAAATGAGAAATTCTGACGTTCTAATTTGTGGATTAGTTTATGAATGGCACACATACTTGGAGCAGCATCTAGCATGTGGTGACTGTTCAATACACAGTGATGTTTATTTATGTTATTATTATAACCATGATTAGTATGAATTTAATAATGACTCTTTAGAAACCACACCTTCCTAATGTACTTTTACTCCATAGCTAATAAAGCTACTCTTTTTCCTGAATTCTTTTTTTTTTTTTTTTTGGGACAGGGTCTTGCTCTGTTGCCTGGGCTAGACTGCAGTGGCATCCTCATAGCTCACTGCAACCTCCAACCTCAAACTCCTGGGCACAAGCAATACCCCTGCCTCAGCCTCCAGAGTAGCGGGGACTACAGGCAACTAAAAGCAATTAACATGTGATAGGTGCTATCACATTAAAGTGTGCAACTCACTGTGGAAGCATAGTGGTGACCGTGACCAAATGGCAAGAGAGGTATCATAGAGGCTTTTCAGAAGAAGTAAAATCTGAGGAAAAAATTAGATATACGAAAATAAAGGGCACGTTCAGATAACAGGAATTCAGCGTGGAATAGAGAGTCCAGTGCAGAAAGTGACTAATATAATCAACTGTGGAGGAAGGTGTGAACAAGCTGTCACACTTGGTTCCTGGTGGGGTGGTCATGGATCCACCCTCCCTCTGAAGATGTTCCACTGATGTCCCAGTCTGCTCACAGGAGCTGAAGCCAGAGATTATGATAGGAGGCTCCTTTCCCTCCATTCAACCTCTGAAATTGCCGCAGGAGTGCCAAGTTTCAGTTTGGGGACCTCCTCTCTTCTCTGTCTACATTTCACCCCTGGGGGATTCAAAAAAACCTTTTTTTGTAAAATACTATCAATGGACTGGTGACGCCCAGAATTATATCTTCTGCCTTGATCCCTTTCCTTGAGTTCCAGATTATTTTCAACCAACTGGCCTCTTGATACCCTGTTTGCATGTTTAAAAGACACCTCGGAACACACATTGACCAATACAGAACTCTTCATTTTCCCCACTGAAATAAAGCCTTTTTTCCCTTGATCTTGACATCATAGAAAATGGTAACAAGGTTTGCCCAGTTGCTCAAGCCCAAAACCTAAGAGTCATCTATGACTTTATGCTAATGAAGTGACTCTTGGAGGATGGGGGCTAATTGTCAGAGGAACTAACCATGTGATTAGAGGGTTAGAACTTTCAGCCCCAGCCTCCAACCTCTGGGGAGATGGGCTGGGGATTGGGTTAATCACCAATGGCCAGTGCTTTAATCAACCATATCTTTGTAATGGAGCTTCCATAAAGACCCTAAATAGAGGGGTTTGAAGAGCTTCTGGGTTGGGTTGGTGAATACATTTATGTGCTGGGAGGGTAACACACCCCAACTTCAGGGAAAGAAACTACCCTCAGGACCCTTCCAGACCTTGCCCTATGAACTTCATCTGGCTATTCATGTGTATAGTTTAAAAAATATCCTTTATAATAAACTAGCAATAGTAAGTAAAGTGTTTCCCTGACTTCTGTGAGCCGTTATAGCAAATTATTGAACCTGAGGTGGTGGTCATGGAAATCCCCTGATTTGCAGCCAAGTTGGACAGAAGTGTGGGTAACCTAGAGACTCACTTTTTTTTTTTTTTTTTTTTTTGGAGACAGGATCTTGCTCTGTTGCCCAAGTTAGAGTGCTGTGACATCATCATAGCTCACTGCAACCTCACACTCTTGGGCTCAAGCAATCCTCCTGCCTCAGCCTCCCCAGTAGCTAGGACTACAGAAGCACACCACCATGCCCAGCTAATTTTTGGTAGAGACATGGTCCAAGCTGGTCTTGAACCTCTGGCTTCGGGCGATCCTCCTGCCTCGGCCTCCCAAAGTGCTAGGATTACAGGCATTAGCCACCACACCCAGCCTGGAGACCCACTCCTTTTGACTGACGTCTGAAGTGGTGGTAGTCTTGTGGGATTGAGCTCTTAACCTGTGGGGTCTACGCTAACTTCAGGTAGTTAGTGTCAGAACTGAATTAAATTCTAGGACACCTAGTTGGTGTCTGAAGAGAATTAGAGTATTGCTTGGTGCACAAAACACATACAGGGGTGTCAGAAGTATTGTGAGTAGAGAAACAGTTTTCCTTTATCCTCCCTTTCCCTCCCTTAACCATCAAAACTTGTTTTTATCTACAAACTAAACTTGACTTTCATTCATATCACTCCATCTCCATAGCTACCAACACTTGTCCATTGTACAAGCCCCCAACATTTCTCACCTGGTCCATGGTAACAGCCTCCATTGTGCTCCCTGTTCCCATCTGGCTCTTCTAACATTCCCTGTGCGAATCTGACCAAGTCAGCACCCTCTACGGGACCCTTGAATGGCTTCGATGCCATTTAGAATTAAATTCAAAATTCTCACTTTGGCAAATAAAGTCCTATCTCTCCCTCTAATCTCATTTATGACCTATTCAATTATCCAACATCTCTGGGCCTCAGTTTGCTCACCTACAAAATGGAAATATTGAAAGTATCTGCCTTATAGGGCTGTTGTCAGGATTTAAAGAGTTAACACATGTAAAGCTCTTACAACTGTAATTGGCACACGGCAAATGCTCAGTAAATGTTACCCATTATTATTATTATCATTATTATTTCCTCTGCCTTTTCCAACTGTTTGAAAGACTGGCTCTCTCTCACACTTCAGGCTTTAGCTAAAATATCTCCTCCTCATGGAATCCATCCTGACCACTCCAGCTAGCCTCCCCCTGATCACTGTCATGCCATTTTACTTCTTTGTAGTTCCTCTTAATATATAAAATAATTTGGCTCACTGTTAATTGTTGGGCTCCCCCAAATAGGATGTGATTACATGTGTTTCAGAATCTTGTTCCTTCTATTCTTTGATGTATGCCCAGTATCTAACATAGCACCTGGCATATAGTGGGCACTCCATATATTTTTATTGAATGAATAAATGTTTAAAATGGTAGAAGATAAGATCAATTAAGCTTTTAGTTTGCGTAAGAGCAATGGGAGGTATGCAGAGAAGTCAAATGTGAAAGACATTTCTGAGGGAGAATGTAACAAACTTTAAGTAAGAAAATATTTAGTAAAAACCTAGTATGAGGTTATTAACCTAGTATTAGGTTAATAGTAAACCTAGTAAACCTAGTATTAGGTTATTAAGTATGAAATGTCCAATTCCCTTAAGTACTCAGTTTGACAGTTGATATTTCTGACATTTCACTTTGACACTTCCTGTTTTATTTTTATTGTGAAGGTGCATGCTCATTCTTTCAAACGCAGGATTTGGCTTGTGATTATCTTTCAATTTTTTTTTTTTAAGAGCAATTTTGTGAAATCATGGATAAGTAAAAAACTTGTGTTATTTTCAAATATGAGTTCCGTTGTGGAACCAATGTTGCACAGACAGCTCAATATCAACAAAGTGTTTGAGAAGGATGTGGCTAATGAACACACAGCATGTCATTGGTTTGAGAAGTTTCATTTTGGTGATTTTAATCTTGAAAATGAGCCACGTGGGCGAGCTGAGACCAAGGTGGATAATGATGGACTGAAAGCTACGGTAGAAGCAAATTCATCTTAACCTGGCATGAATTAGCAGCAAGGTTTGATGTTACTATTCCCATAGTATTGGACCATTTGAAACAAATTGGCAATGTAAAGAAGCTAGATAGATGCATGAATTAAATGAGCGTCAGAAGAGAAACCATCTCGAAGCTTGCCTTTCTTTGCTGACATGACATAAAGACAAACCATCTCTACATCATATTATTACATGTGATGAAAAATGGATTCTTTTTGACAACCACCAGCATTTGGCACGATGGTTGGGTAAAGATGAAGTGCCAAAACACAGTCCAAAACCGAATATTCATTTAAAAAAGCTAATGGTGTGTGTTTGGTAGTCCACTACACTACACTACACTATCCACTACAGCTTCGTGAAACCTGGTTAGTCAATTACAGTGGATGTCTACTGCAACCAATCGGATGAGATGATGCGGATGCTTTCGATCAAGCAGCTGAGATTGCTCAATAAAGACAGGCTAATCCTCTTGCAAGACAATGCTCGACCACATGTCACACAAACAATGCTGCTCAAACTACAGAAGCTGGACTTGGAAACTCTCTGTCATCCACCATATTCACCAGACCTTGCACCAATTGACTACCACTTCTTTGAGGCTTTGGACCACTTCTTGCAAAGAAAAATATTCAATTCTCAACAAGCTGCGGAAAATGCCTTTCGCAATTTCATCGTTATTCGCTCTCTTCACTGCTGGCATAAACAAGCTACTGTTAAGAAGGTAAAACTGTGTTGATAGTTTAGGTGCATACTTTGATTAATTGTACTGCCTCTTGTTTGAGAGATAATAAACCAAACTTTTGATTCAAAATTGGACATTTCATATTTGATGACCTAATACTAGACCAATGGTTCTCAGACATTAAGTATGTATCAGCATCATCTGGAAGGCTTGCTAAAACACAAATTGCAGGCCACCCAAAGTTGCTGATTCAACAGATATGAGATGGGGCCCAAGAATCTGTATTTCTGGCAAGTTCCCAGGTGACATTAATGCTGGGTTCAGGGACCACACTTTAGGAACCAGAGTGTTAGACTAAAATAAGCAGAAGATATTCTTGGATTTTATTTATTAAATATTCTAGGTTTAATGCAGTTATTATTACAGTTCTAAAATTATCTCTTCTATTGTATAAAATGAAGGTAAATATACTTAAAGTATAAAAATTATGATTTAAATTAGAAATCCTAAGTTGATATATTGACATTGAAAGCCACTAGCTTTTATTAGACTGAACAGATAAGATGGGAAAGAAGTTTCATTTCTTCTTATGAACCATAAAACTAGACAATGTGATGATTAACTCTGATTTAATTTTTAATTGGCCAGGATTTCAGAAAGAGTTCAAAATTATATCACTTTTACAACTATATAGGTATTACCTTCACCTGTACAGGAATGCCAATGTGCCTTCTGAAGCTCACTGGCTTGAGCTTATATTTACCTATAAATACTGGGCCCTATTCTCCTCCTCTCCAGTATAAGGCCATACCTAAGAGCATGTGTTGGCAAATTATGGTCAACAGGTAGCTCACCTTCCTGATTTTGTAAATAAAGTTTTATTAGAAAACAATTAACATTCATTTGTTTACATGTTGTCTATGACTGTTTTCACATTATAATAGCTGAATTGAGTAGTGGCAACAGAGACCTTATGTTCCATAAAGCCTAAAATACTTACTATCTGAATTTATACAAAAAAAGTTTGTCCCTATCTTAGGGGTACCAAGGGGACACACTACTGGTTTGTTCCTCATTGTACCTCCTATGCTCAGACGTCCAGATTTTACTCTAGTGTTTGAATTTTACAATACTATAAAGTCTAGGTGGTCTTCACTGTACAGATTGTTTACCAAGCGAAGTATACAATGCCCAGCAGAGTAGCTGAATAAACCCCATAAAATATGGTTATTTTACAAGGAAAATATAGACTATCTCTCAGGAAAAGCAATGTCTTTGTTTAGAATATGCTATAATGGTCTTCAAATTATATTCACATATCCAGAGGGCACATGGGAAAAAATAATGTTAAGGAAATCAATTTCCTGATACTCGATTTCCATATTTAGTCTTCTCTAAAACTGCTCTAAGAAAAGGCTGTGGTCTAGTTCTCTTTCCCTACCTCCCCTAATACAATCACCTTTTCCTCACTTTACGATAGAATGCCTTGCCTCTCTCAGCCATCCTGATTTTTATTCTAGTGCAATTTCTCTCAGCAGAGGTATAAATATCTCTTGGGTACCAAACAAAAGGGCAATTAGGTAACACATGGAGCCTACGGGAAAAGCCCTTGACTAAAATAGGCGCAGGAAAGAAATACTGAAAACAGATTATGTCTTATTTCATCTATTTGAGCCCTTGCTCACAAAACCATATATCTGTTTCCCATGTTTGTCCACCTGACTATCTTAAAATCAGAATTCAAAAATGAGATAGTGTCACAGCAACCTATATTAACATGTTTATTTGAATTCAAAAAATTAAGACAGATCTTTTCTGTTATAAGATAAGCTGAATTGGTTGATTAGTTTGATAATAAGGACTGGCTTTGGGAATTAGGTTATATGGCAGACATTTTTCATAACTGAATGCACTAAATCTGCAAGTTTCGATATTTAAATATTTTAAATGGACTAAGAACATGTAGACAATATATCAGGAATGACAAACCCTTGGCAATTATTTAAACACAGGATAACAAATATTATATATCAATTTGAAAAGGTACGAGGGGATACAAAATTCTTTTAGAATGTACTCGAGAAAAGAAAGAAAGAAAACCTCGGCCTGCCTGGCGCAGTGCTTCACGTCTGTAATCCCAGCACTTTGGGAGGCCGAGGCAGGAGAATCGCTTGAGCCTGGAAGTTTTCAAGACCAGCCCGAGCAACATAGTGAGGC